GATATTTCTGATTGAAACATGACGAATAACTTAGATTCATTATATGGCAGAGATAAAATTAGACTTGCATATAATGGAGTTGAACTAAGTTGGCTTAGCATAGCCTTACCATGTTGGCAGAATTAAGCTTAGAATAAAACTAAGTGCATTTCAGTTAGATTAACAAAGAAACCAAGGTTGAGAACCTTGGCTAGTCTTTGTTTGAATCTGACTTCGGTAGAAACTATACGTGCTTAATGTGGATATAAGTGAAACTTAAGTTCACATTAGGAGGTAATGAGCTGGAGAATGATAAGTAAAAGTTTAAAGTACTTGGGAGTTGGAATTTTATAGAAAATCCTACAAACTAGAGTTGGCTTAAAACTTGTTGAAATTTCAGAAAAATTTACAAGTCGGAGTTAAGCCGAGGTAATATTACAAGAAGTACATACATACTTGCCGAGATGACCAGGTTGCCAAACTTAGAAAATATAGAAGACAGAAGTCTTGATAAGTGAGAGTGAAGTGGCAAGTTTAAAACAATACTTGTGAAAATATTTTTACAATGTTTTCAAGTGTTAAGCCAAGGCCGAGATAAACAATTGGAAGTTATGTCTGAGGTATTTTACTCCAAAGAGATTATACAGTTAAAGGTATAAATTGAAGACATGCCAAATGCCAAATTATTCTAAGTATCAAAGTGGTAAACATACATAAAGAGAAAAGAAGACATTCAAACACTTAGAATAAAGAAGGAAACTTGCTTTCAAAAAAAGATTACGTGTTTAGATTACAAGAGCGGTACATTGGCCAAATATGAAACTACATTGTTCAGGCAAAACAAAAGACAAACAAAGGAAGAAAAAGAATACAGGGAAAAGATGAAATATCCTCAGTACTAGGATTGGCTTGATCGGCCGGTGGTGTTGCGTTCTTGTCGACCTTTATTTTTGCATCTATTTCTTGTAATGTCTGATCCAGACTCTTTTCAGCACACTGGACCTCGGCCTCAGATGTGTTGGTTTGGGGGAGATGCCATTGGAAACCAAGTCATCCTCCTCATCATGAGTCAAGTCTATTTGCTCATTGAGGGTGGGAGACTTGGCATCTGTGGCAGCCTCCTTCTCAACTTCATCGACTTCATCGTCCTTGGCATTATCTTTGGGCTCTGGTAGGAAAGGCACCTCAAGCTAGTTGATGTCTCGAAGGTCGGAGTCCATGGAAACAGCCAATTTGTTGAGGGCCGTTGTCCAGCCGAGGTAATAACCTTGGTTGCAAGCCAAGTTGACTTGCTATTTGTATTGGTCATGGACGGCGGCCTACCCCTCCTCGAATGCTTTTTTGTTGGCCGTCTTTACCTCGACCTCCTTGGAAGTAAGGACCTCTTGAAGCTTGGCCTCCAAGTCCGTTGCCTTAGCCTGGACGGCTTCAAGGTCGGCTCTTGTTGCCTCGGCTTCGTCATTGGCCATTTTGGCCTTTTCCTTAGCCAGACTTTGAGCAACTTTGGCATCCTTAGCCTGGTCTATTAGAGCTCGGTTGCTAGTCTCGACCTTGTTGAGTGACAATAGAAGTTTGGCTGCTTCTTTGGTCTTTTTCGCCAACTCATTCCGTATCATCTCGATTTTTACAGCATATGAATGAGCATGCTGAATAGCTTACAAGAAGAAAAACAGGTTAGTAAGATTTTTTCTAACTGTAGAAAGAACTGTTAAGAGATGAGTATAAGAGGATTACCAAAACTGAAGGTTGCATCATGAGAGCAAAGTTCCTATACTCATGTAACTCGACCATGCGGTTCATGTCTTCGGGCAGAAGAACAGTCGTGGATAGGGCCGCGTCGTCTTCAAGATTTGCTGCACTATCACTGGAAGTAAGAGGTCTATCGTCGAGCATGATCTCAGGCCCAGGTCATGCTTCGGGAGTAACTGTTGCCCTCTTGGTGGTCGGACCTCGGCTTTTTGGCAGGTGGGGCATCAGATGCTGGAGCCTCGACTGGACGTTTTATCACGACCCAAATCTACCCCTAAGGGTTTAGTATCATAACTGGCCAGTAATCCGTATTACCGAACGCCTAATTAACAGTAATAACAGTAATACAATATAAAGGGGCTGGAGGGAGCCAATCAGTAGTAAAAAGATGTCTAATGAGCTGTGAAAATCCGAATGGGAAAAACTTTTATGGATAACCACATTCATAGCCATATAAATCTATTTACATATCAAAACACTTATAAACCGTAGCTTATAGATTAGGGACCTGATCCCTTCACCATAACTATACAATCAAGTCTTAAACATTCATTACATAACAGAGACCAAAGGGTGAATCTGAAACACCCCAAAACAGCCTTGACTCGTGCAAACTCGGAACCTCGATGTGAGGCACAATGGCTGGCTTGACAAAACAAGAGCTTAAGCTGACGCCTCTAGCTTTGGTCCGGTGCCTGGCCACCTATATACATATATAAACTGTGAGCTAAAGCCCAGTGAATAACAAATGTGTAAAAGGGTTAAGAATGAATGTCCTTTCAGTATTTAAAACAGTCATTTGCGTCAGTAGTTCAGTCATTTATTCCATGTCTCTTATTTCATGTCATATCAGTCACTTAGGAATCATAGCAGTCATACGTGGCACATCCAATAGCAGACCAGTACAGTAGGTCTTATTAGACCGAACAGTCAGTTGATG